GAGGAGCAGGCACGCGGAGGAGAGCGCGCTCAGGAAGGGAGGGCCGTGCCCTGGGGCCGGGCAAGCGAGCCAGGGTGGTGGCTCCTCTGCCAGGCTGGGTGTAAGCTCACGGTGCTGGGTGGCTGCCTGACAGCCGACAGTGTGATGGTCACCTGAGGGGAAGGGGGCTGGGGAGGTAGAAGAGGATAAGGGGGGACAATGGTGACTTGGGGTGCTGAACACAGCACAATTACAGATGGTGTGTTATGGATCGTACAGCTGAAGCCTCTATCATTTTATGAACGAATGCAACCCAAAACATTTAATAAAAGTTTTAAAAAGAGCCCTGGCCAGTGTGGCTCAGTGGCTGGAGTACCAGCCCGCACACCGAAGGGGTGCAGGGTCAATTCCCGGCCAATGGCAGAGTTCGCTCCCCACCCGTCGGGGCACATGTGGGAGGCAACTGTTCGCTGTGTCTCTCCCATATCGATGTCTCTCTCTCTCTCTCTCTCCTCTCCCTCCCTCCTTCGCTTCCACTCTCTCTGAAAAATCAATGGAAAAAGATATCCTCATGTGAGGATTAACAAAAACCAAAAAGAAAAGTGAAACCGGTAAAAAATGTGCAGTCTTGTACATTCTCATAAATCACACACATGTACACACACACACATGCACATGCACACATGCACACACACACACACAAGCACACGCACTCCAGGCTCCTATTTTACCATATTCCCAGGGACACTCTCTCCCATTCACCTGTCGGCCTTATTCAAAACCTTGACTCAATGGGCAGGAGAGCCAGTGTCGCTTCTGTTCCCCGGGTGTGGCTTTGACGACAGACATACCTGTCCCCCAGGCAGGCCTTACTCCCTGGCCCCGCCCCCTCTGACCTCACCAGAAATGAGATTGTCCCAACATACAGAAAGGAATGTAAGCGCAAAAGACAAACTGCCCATTGTCAGAAAGATCCTAAGGACATCTGCGGACGCAGGAAGGCAGCCCCTTTGTGTGGGATAGAAGGGACGCGCTATCACGGCGAGGTTTCTCGCTGATGCCAAACCAGCGGGGCAGTGGTCCATGCTGCCGGGCTAGTGCCTTCCCGTGGTCCAGCCGTGGGGAAACTGAATGGCCAGGGACACCACCCACCTTGAGGGGCAGGAGGGGGAGGAGAGCCAGGGAGAGACTCTGCCCCTTGCTCTCAGCCCCTTCTCCCATGCGGGCCAGGCCCTCCCTCCACACTTAGGTGCCTGGGCAGGACGGAGGCACCCTGGTGAGGGTCAGGCAGCTGACTGGTGCCGGTGGGAGGTGGGTTTGTCTGCCTGTGTGCACCAGACCTTTTTCTTCAGCTGACCTTGCAGCTCCGACTTGTTGCATGTTGGGAAGGTCACCTGCAAGGAGCTCAGGCTGCCATAGTAAACACCACAGACACGGGCTTACACAGCAGTTTATTCTCTCCCCGTCCTGGAGGCTGGACGTCTGAGCTGGAGGTGTGGGCGGGGCTGGTTCCTCCCGAGGCCTCTCTCCTTGGTGTGTAGACGGCCGTCCTCTCCTGCGTCCTCACATGGTCGTTCTCGGTGTCCTCATCTCTCTTCTTATAAGGACCCAGTCACACTGGGTCACGGCCACCCTGGGACCTCGTTTGATCTGTACCACTTTTTAATGGCCCCCTCTCCAGATACAGACCCACTGGGAGATACTCGGCGTTAGAAGGCCAACAAATGAATTTCGGGGACATACTTGGCTTGCGAGCCTCCGAGTTCCGTTTCCAGCAGAGCTGACCGAGAAGGAAGAGGTCAGGTCCAAGGTGACCATCACGGTGAGCGCCACTGCTCAGCTCTCCTGCCTGGCATGTGCCACTCTGTACAGAGGCGAGACAGACCCCTGGCAGCCGGACATACTCCTCACTGGGACCGTGGCACGCGAGGCCGTGGGCTCTCTGAGAACCGTGCAGGGGCCAGTGAGCCAGGTGGCCCCACCCCATCCCGGGCAGAGGCTGGCCAGGAAGGTGGGCCACTGCCTGGTGACAGGGAACTTAATGGGAGGGCTCCTTAGGGGCTTCAGCTGACGAGGGAGCCACAGAGGCAGGAACTGGGGGAGCAGGTGCCCAAGGACTGGGGCAGCAGGACCCCCTGAGGTTCCTAAGATCTCCAAGCTTGGAGGAGGAGCCCCAAGCGCCGTCCTGAGACCCCCTCGGAGGGGCCTGGTATCGGGCAGTGAGACCCATGGGAACGGGGGCGCTGCCATCTTCCCAGGAGCTGCTGGCCCAGGAGCTCAGGCCTCTGCAGACCTCCACGCAGCCAGCGGGCGCTGGCATCTCTTAAGGGCAGAGGAAACCAGCCAGCAGGACCCACCGCTCCTGGAATCACCTGTGTGCCAGGTGGGGCGCAGGTGTGGCGATGCGGGCTCAGCAAGGCCCGCCCCCTCTGGTCCGCAGCCTCGCGAGTCCCTGCGGGCAGTGCCTGCTGGACGGGCCTGGCGGAGCTGGGGGAGCAGAGCTCGGCCTGCAGTCCGGGGGCTCCCCAAGCAGAGAGCAGCGTCCTCCACCAGCAGCGCGCCTGCGTCATTTGGAGGAGCCGGGCGCCAGCCCATGGACTCCTGGAAGGCGGGAAGTGAGCCTGGGCACTTGGGCGAAGGTGAGCTGGCTTATGGTTAGCGGGACAGACGTTCGTCTCAAGTACGGTCCCTCCTGGGCCCTGGTGGGCAAGGCATTTAAGGCATTTCCCTGACGGCCCTTCAGGAGGGCACTGAGGGCGGGAAGTCAGCAGTGAGAGACCCTCCCCAGGGCAGCACCACCCCTCCCAGCGCCCCCCCTGATAAAGGTGCAGCAGCGACTACCCTCTGTGTGTGGCATGTTACTTGCTCACGTTATGCCACAGCCTAGAGCGAAGGGGCTTCGTGAACATTGGAACTGCACCTGAGGTACTGCCAGCGTTTGCCTGTTGTAACACCTCTCACTTAGGCACGAACACCTGCAGTGTTGAAAGGGAAGTAAGGGAATTAATTCTTCTTCCTCCGCCTCGCAGGCAATGCTTGGCTTATACATGTGTGTTTTCGGTGACATCTGGGAGGTGCTGGGTACATATGGAACAACAACAACACACATATTTGCTAGGAAAAGATGAATAAAACCTCCGTCGGAGATTGAAGTTAATATTAGAATCACATCCTCCTCCACAGAGGCTCCTGGAATCCCGGGGAGGGCCCAGGGGCCTGGAAACCACAGGCTAATGGGGGCATCTCCCTGAAGCTCACAGTGCTGGCGTTTGCAGGAAGTAAATCTTCGGTGAACCGTAATACAAGTGCTGACACCACCGAGTGGCATAACAATGTCTGTGGACTTGCCGATAGAATAGACGGGCAAGTCTCCCCTCGATCCTGACGTCATCTCCCCATGGCCCGCCGGCTCTGTTCTCTGCGGCACTGAATGAAGTTTCGGAAGCACCGCCCTTGTTATAAACACTGGGACATGGTGGTTTTCGGTGGTCTTGCTGGTTCCTGCTGTTAGTCGGGGAGCTAACTCAATAGCCAACAGTCTGTATTTAAAAAAACTGGTAGGTGTAGGACTTCAAGTGACAGAAAGAAGCAATATCTAAGGAAGGCTGCAAAGAAATGCTTGATTGAGTCTGCTTCTGAGATAAGCTGTCCGCATTTAGCGTCATCAGCCATGCACTCACACAGCTGTACCGTGTCCTTTCCCATCAGGTTCTTCAAATAAAGCTCATCTTTGCAGTAAGTGCAAGACTGAAACCACAAAGTAAGTTTTCCTGTGTGACATCTTAATTTCTATAATTTATTTCTAGGAAAGAATGCATGTGTGCAATTATATGTATTGTCATGCTTGCAGGTTATTATAATACCTCATTTTTAAATTCATGCATTCAAGGGTTGGGGGCATAGCAGAGCGCAAGCAGTTCTGTTGCCCAAGATCTTTTAAAAGTTTTGTACAGCCCGACTGGCGTGGCTCAGTGCTGGAGCAACCACCTATGAACCAGAAGGTCATGGTTTGATTCCTGGTCAGGACATATGCCCAAGTTATGGGCACAATCCCCAGCGGGGGGCATGCAGGAGGCAGCCGACCAATGATTCTCTCTCATCATTGATGTTTCTATCACTTCTTCTTCCTTTATCTCTGAAATCAATAAAAAAAAGTTTAGTATAATGACCTGGGCTTTATATGAGCATATGAACAGCTTCGTCATTTAGCTGTCTCCCCTCAGCAGTTTCACATACGTGTCAATTTGTGAAGGACTAAGGCCACATTTCACCATATTTCTGCCTCTCTCCTCAGTAACCAGTGTTGGCCTCAGTGTAGGACTCACATACCAATAGCAAAATCGCAATTAGCAAATTTACCTGCTATCCCCTTAAAATGCGTGTGTTTGGTGACTGTGCCTCCACAGTCCTTGGTTATAAAACTATATTTAAGAAGTCAACAACTTTATGACGATTGCTTTCCTCTAAATTCATGATTCCAGGATAAAGGTCTTGGTTCGGCAACACTTGAATACAAGTCATACAAATGAAACCATAGCAAATAAGCAAGTTTGACAGATTCTACGAAATGGGTGGATTTTCTATGTTCATGAACTGTTGCTTTGAAATGGAAGGAAGTGCTTGATTTGACTTTTAGTTCCTGTTCCAAGTTGGTGGATTGTTGCATTTTAGGATAAACTGGCCAATTAGAACTTTGGCCTTGTCCATAGGTGTGTGTGTGTGTGTGTGCTTGCCACAAATAAAACCACAGTCCTGGCCGGTGTGGCTCAGTTGGTTGGAGTGTTGTCAGTGCACAGATTGGTCGCGGATCTGATTCCTGGTCACAGCACATACCTGGGTTTCGGGTTCCATCCCCCGTCGATCTCTGGAAGGCAACTGATCGGTGATTCTCCCATCAATGTTTTTCTCTCCTCTCTCTCTCTAGCCTTTTTCCTTCTCTCTCTAAAATCAAAGAAAACATCCTCAGGTGAGGATTAAAACAAACGCAATACTCACTGGTCTTGCAGACACAGTTATGGGCTTTATTATGGTTAGAGGCAGTATTTTGCAGTCAAATATTGGGACACACAATAAATATTAGGGTGCACCATCAGGACCATGGAAAGAAAAATTTGAAATAGGGACCATTTCATACTTGGAATGATGGTTTCTAACCCCCACCCTCCCCGCCCAAGTCCCTTTATAACTTCTTACTCATTTTTCAAATTCCTTCTCAACCTGCCCATATTATTTTATTTCCTCCCTTGCATATGCCATGTTTGACTTCTCAGGCATGAGGATGACGGCCATGCTGGATTTGGGAGAGGAAAGGGCACTTAGTGGGCAAAGTAGCTATTAGGTGCAGAATGAGAAAGAGTAGATCAATGAGAAAAAGAGGTCACCACATCGGCCCGGAGGCCACCTTCCTGGCTGGGATGGAGAAGGGGGCTTTGAAGGCCACGGGAGAACTGAGGGGCAGGTCTAGGCTGTGTGCTGCCGGCGGGGATGGGGACGCAGGCCACACTGAAGATTTCACTGAGTTATGGAATTAGCCCTTTTTAATCCCAGGTCCTGGGACTCAGTGCTGCCGACAGAAGAAGCTCCTGACGGCATTGCTGTAGCTCCTGTTGAAGGCCGTGTAGATCAGGGGGTTGAAGAAGGAGTTGGAGTAGCCGAGCCAAAGGAAGATGCTCTTCCAGAGGGCAGGGGGGTCGCAGGCGCAGAGGGGGCTGACGAGCTCCGTGGTGAAGAAGGGGATCCAGCAGATGGCAAACACCCCGATGAGAGTGCCCACCATCACGGCGGCTCGCTGCTCCTTCTGCTCCCTCCACGTGTCTCCCTCTGCCTGGCAGGTGACGGTGCTGTGGCGGGCGGTGAACAGCATCTGGGGCTCCTGAGCAGGGACCCTCTGGAAAAGGTAAGCAGAAGCTTCGTGAAGGGCCAGCAAGTCCCTGTCCCTCTAAACTGCCAAGGGGAATTGTCTAGATTTAGATGGACTACAATCCAGCGCTCTGTTTGTATGGGTGCTGTTGTACCTACCACCACGCCCACGATTACAGAACAGAAGGCCCGTCAGCCTGCAACTTCAGGTGTCTAACGGGGAAACAAGCAAATTAACTCGTAATAACTTCAAAACACAAAATCCAAACAGAAGACATTTCTTTTAAAAAGATTGATTATAGCAGATGGTGAAAGAAGATAATGAAGGACCAATTTGTGGCTACAGAGTAAATTTTAAAAGACTTGAGGAAAAGACAATTTTATTTAATAGAAAACTTGAAGCAGTGAAAATCTTGACCAATCCTACACCACCTTGCAGCTGGCATTTCAGATCACCATGAGAAGACTCCTCTGCGTGTCTGCAGCACACCTCCTTCTCTCAGCCCGTGGGGGGCTGTCATGATTGTGGGCTCTGCTTCCGTACAGGAAGTGCCACTGTTCTGAGACATGACCACATTAGCCGATCACTACACAAGATACCTACATTGTGTATAATTCAGACGTCACTGGAGAAAAAGCAGTGGTCCTAGAGTCCACAGACAGAAAGACAAATTGGAGCGAAATGCACAAGAGCACAGACTTATTCTCCCTGTGTTATCTGAATCTGCCTTTAACAACACACACACACACACACACACACACACACACACACACGTATGTATATATATTTAAATTTATTTCAGAGAGGAAGGGAGAAGAAGAGAGAGAGAGAAACATCAGTGATGAGAAAGAACCATCGATTGGCTGCCTCCTGCATGCCCCTACTGGGGATTGAGCCCACAACCTGGACATGTGCCCTTGACCAGAATAGATCCTGGGACCCTTCAGTCCACAGGCCGGTGCTCTATCCACTGAGCCAAATTGGCTGAGGCGTGAATCTGCCTTTTTGTACAAATATGATCATTTCAGGCCATGCTCTAGGTGGGTTAACTTGACCATGTGACACCTGGCAAAGAACTGCCTGCTGAAGCCTGCACCGTAATAGCCAGTCATGGAGGCTTCACCTCCTTGCCTCAGAGAATGCCAGGCCTCAGTTCACTAAGTCAACACATCCTCAGAACCTATATTAATACTGTAAATTGTATGTTGCCATACAGGTGCTAACAGAAACCACCAACATTTTCTACTAGTCGGTTCACTGTGAATCGTCGTCACGCCCCCCTTCTCCTATTGCTCATCCACCAGTCGAAGAGCATGTGACTCACTGTATAATCCTTAGTCTGTGGGGGGACTATCATGATTGTGTCTCTGTAATTGAAGAAGTGTCTCTGCCCCAAACAGAACATTGATACCCTGGTACCAAATCCAACCTTACTATGGTTTGTTGTATTATGTTAAAAGCAAAAGGGATAATACCAGATTGGATATATCATTTGTACAATCTCTCTGATAAAATCCAATATAAAATATACATATATTTACTAGAGGCCCAGTGCATGAAATTCATGCACTAGGGGGATGGTCCCTCAGCCCGGCCTGCACCCTCTCACAGTCTGGTAGCCCTCAGGGGATGTCTGACTGCTGGCTTAGGCCCGCTCTCTGTGGGGAGTGGGCCTAAGTCATCAGTCAGACATCCTTAGCACTGCTGCAGAGGTGGGAGAGACTCACACCACCTCCGCTGTGCTCGCCAGCCGTGAGCCCAGCTTCTAGCTAAGCGGCACTCCCATGGTGGGAATTGGCTGAAACTGGCTCTCTGACATCCCCCGAAGGGGTCCCAGATTGCAAGAGGGCGCAAGCAAGGCTGAGGGACCCTACCAGTGCATTATCGGGGCTGGTTAGAGATGGCAGGAGAGCTCCAGGGTGTATCCAGCCCATCTTGCTCAGTCCCAATTGGCCAGATCCCAGCAGCAAGCTAACCTACCAGTCAGAGCATTTGCCCCCTGGTGGTCAGTGCATGTCATAGCGAGCAGTGGAGCGGCCTTAGCATATCATTAGCATATTATGCTTTGATTGGTTAAATGACCAACTGGTTGACTAGACACTTAGCATATTAGGCTTTTATTATATAGGATTAATTTCAGAGAGAAAGGGAGAGGGAGAGAGAGATAGAAACATCAATAATGATGAAAGTGAATCATTGATCAGCTGCCTCCTGCACACCCCCTCCTGGAAATTGAGCCCACAACCCGGGCCTGACCTGAACCAAACCCAGGATGCTTCAGTCCCCAGGCTCTATCCACTGAGCCAAACCAGCTAGGGCTAAAATCCAAATTTCTTTTTTAACAGAAAGCCAGGTTGCTCAATGACTAAACATATAAAATTGCTAAAATAAAAGACAGGCACAAAAACTAATAATTGGTGTGTTTCAGAAAGATTCACTTCTTTACTTGCTATGGAAACTCATCGCCAGGTATTCTCTAAACAATGAACACGAGTGCATGTCACTTGGTGCTTTGATGCCTCCAAAAGAGTCCTGAGCCGAGGTTCTTCAGGGGACGGCAGCAAAGCAGCATGGGTGCTGGCCTTTAAGCCACGCACCTGGGAGGAGCAGACCACCCATGAAGAGGAGACTGCTGTGAAGGTCCGTGCAGACCACGCACTGCCATGCCCCTGGGTGGATCGCCTCTCTTGTTCCAGTTTCTTTATCCTGTGTTGGAATCAGGCTTTTTTGTGTTGTTCCAGAGCCAAGACTCTGTGTTCAGTAGGACCAGGAGCTGGGCCATTCCAAGAACGAACTCCCCAGTGCCCTCAAAGGCCTCTGTCTCCTTAAAAGAGAGCACAGAGATAAAATTCTTCAGGGAAAGGGTTCCTGGGGAGAGTGGCCACCCATGAGAGTCAGGTTTCGATGTAAAAGAACAAAGGCTGGGAGTAGATTATGTTTATGTAGCTTGAGCTCTGGGCTTAGGTTTAAATAGCTTAACCCAAGGGGTCTTGGCGAAGAGCTTTTCCTTGGGCCAATCAGGGAGGAGTCTACCCCACAGTTAACACTTCATGCTCCCTCCCTCCATTAACGCCACAGATGAGGCAAAACAATCTCCTTTGAAGCAAAACAAAAGGCAACCTGGCTGCCCCGGATGGACAGATGGATGCTGGAATCTTTGGGACGTGCCTTCTGGATCAGGACTGGAGACCCTGGCTCCTACCTTGGGAGATCTTCCAGGCGCTTCTTATAACACCTGTGGTTTGTCGCAGAGTTGTTCAATGTCTTGTCCAGAGCTCAATGAACTTAAGTGACCTTCCGGCGGAGAGCATCAGAGCTTCAAGAAAACGCACGTTTACTGCCCATTGAGGCGGGCCTGGCCCTGCCTGGCCAGCGGTTCACAATCACGCAACTCGAGCTGCCCCCTGAGCGCCAGGTCTCCACAGACAAAACTTCATCTGCAAGGAGACCCCAAAGCAGCCATGAAGATCAGACAGAGCTTGGGGGTCTCCCTTGAAGCTTTGGCTGAGTGGGTACCAAGAGTGGGGAATTGAGAACTAAGTGTCCCTACAATTGAGGGCCAGACCGGGTGCTCTGAAGCCCAGAGCCTGTCTGAAACTCTGTCGATCAAGAACAATTCATCTCAAGGACAGTTTTGGAAGCCCACGGGCCAGTGGCAGCCCCTCGCTTCTGAAAGTCTGGCAACCTCAGAGGCACCCTCCAGTCCACTCCCACCGGAGCAACAGCCAATCAACAAAGCTGCTCACCAGACAATAGACCCCTCACACCTCAGAGGCCCCCCCGGGGAGCTCCACTCTTCCCCCAAACGCCACCCGAGGTCAGCAGGCCGCTCTGCTCCACTCCAGGGGGCTGCGCCCGGCCAGCCTGGCTCTCCTGGGCACGAGTAAGCCATCATCAGTGCCTCTGCTCCCGAGCTTCGGGGGTGCTTTCAGCACCTGTGACGCAAGACCTGTCTCTCTCCCGTTGTCCATCCCCCCCTCGGGGTCTGCCAGGGGCTGGGCTTTCGGGGTGTGTGTGTGTGTGTGTGTGTGTGTGTGTGAATAAAGTTCAGCAGATAAGAAACGGGTGATGTGTGTGTTCCCCGGCTAACACCGCTAGTTTGCGGTGGAACTGCATGTGGAAACTGGCGCCTGCTACCGTGGACGGTCGTTAACCCTCACAGGAACGTGAGGACAGAGGCAGCCCGTGTCACAGGCAGAGCCGGGTCCCTTAGAGGCCGTGCAGAGCCAAGGGACGCATGTTTCAAAG